TCCGTGAAACTCTTCTCTCCAAATAATCACCAGAATACTGAAAGTGGCACTGTGGCTCAAAGTGGTAAGAGTGCTAGTCTTGAGCAAAAAGCTCAAGGACAGTGCCCAGGCCCTAAGCTCCATGACTGTGTTAAAAAAAAAAAATGTACGAGTATCATTTGCTTTTACTATGTGGCAAATATGTTCTAGGCTCAAAGGTATTGGAGTATCACAGTCTTTGTAAATGTAGAACTCACAAAAGCAATGAAGACACTGAATCAGGTGAGCTTCATATGAGTGGATCAAGAAACTCTGATCAACTGCAGTTGAACGAAAGGGCTATAGTTCCAGAAGGAAGGGGGGGGGAAATGGCATAGTTTATGGTAGACTTCCAACTAAAGATCTTTGAGATCACTTTCAACAGAATTTGAAACAAGGTCTCTCCTGGCATCCTGACTCAGGCAAAGCTTTTGAGTTCAACAGTAATGGATGGAAGTCCAGTTTCTGCCTAAGAGGGCAGTGGCTAGTGGGAGCTAGCTGGATGAAATCAGCCCAGCTCTGGAGTGTGACATAACCTCTAACTGAGCACTTGTTAAGTTGGAGCACACTGCCTGCTCTCTCACTCCCAAAGGTTGATGCGGAAAATGAAGAGTCAGGTAATTTACACAGAATTTGGGGACTGGGAATGTACCCTGGAATCGTACAGCATTAGCCTGTCATCGATCTCCAGCACAACAGGGAAAAAAGAAAACAACGTATGACACACAGTAGTTCCTATGACTATATTAAACACTTACCTTTCAGGGATAGCAAATAAAGTGTATGTAGTGTGATCGGTAATGTGACGGGAAGAATTTAAGCAGTTAATGGATACAGAATTATAAATAGCTGTGTAGACAGATTAGTAGCTGACTTCAGGCCTGAATTCACCCAGAGGGAGTTTACCTTCTCATGTTCTAAATGACATGACTGAGAGACTACACTGGGGCAGGGCAAGAAGATGTCTGGTGCAAACTAAGGAAGAGCACTGAGCGTCTGAGCTCATTTTAGCTTAGGACCACTCACGTTAGCTCCGGAGAAGACTGAGGCTCACAGATGCCGAACACCATCTCAATCTCCTTGAGGCTCTGTAGGAGAGCCAGAACTCAAGTTAAAACAGACTGGACCCCAAAGCCTGTGCACTAATAGCCAGTCTCTTACTATAATTTCTGAAGGGCCTCATGAAGGTGTTCGTTGATAGGTACTTTTCTTACTATTAACCTAACTTGTTTTATTTATTTAATTTTTTTGGGGCCACTCGTGGGGCCTGAACTCTGGGCCTGGGAGCTGTCCCTCAGCTCTTCAGCTCAAGGCTAGCACTCTACCACTTGAGCCACAGTGCTACTTCCGGCTTTTTCTGCTTATGTGGTGCTGAGGGGTTTTAAATTATATTTTTATTATCTGTAAGTAGTTGTACAAAGGGGTTATCATTCACCAAATCAGTTTATAAATGCAATGCATTCTGGCCAGTGTTACTCCTTTCATTCTTCTCTCCCAACCCACCCCACCTCTTCCATTCTTAGTTTCCTAAGATATGCACTGAAAGTCATGACTGCGTTCTCCAACTTTAAAATAAAGTAAAAATACACACTAAATTGTAAACTTAAGCCATTTGAGCAGGAGATAGAAGCACCAACTATAAAACATGTACAAAAATTCATCAAATATATCAGAAATAGATGCTCCATACAATATTGTGTTATCCAATACTATTTTAGTCTTCTGAAAAGAATTCCCCTAGCCTTCCTTGGAAATTTCACATATAAAACTTAGCTTTCTTGGGCAGAATACAGAATCAGCAACAGCAGCTACCTAACGCAAGAGGAAGAGGAAATAGAGAAAACAGGGAGGCACGCGGAGACCCACACTTTCCAGCTTGAAAGCCACACTGAAAGAAAAAATTCCAGTGTTCTGTAACTAGACATTTAAAGAGCTATTTATACAAATCCAAGCACGTACAAACTGCCAGAAGAAATACATTCTTGGTAAAACCAAACAAAGTTTTGCTTCTGCTTTTAGAAATGGGAGGTTCCACATATGACATAAGAATATGATTCTTGTGTCCACAGCTATTGAATCTAAGTAGAATAAATTGTTTCCTCCACAATGGTCCCAACCATGGAGTCCGTCCCACTTTACCTTTGACCATTCTTACAAACAGGATGTTACTTACACCTACACATCCCACCTTTAGTCCTCCTCTATGATTAAGAGCAAACCCTTTTTGCTCTTAATGATACAAGTTTCCTGAAAATTAACTCACTTTCCTCTCCATGTGCTGGCTTACTACCAGATGCCAAAGGACAGGTTGGAGGTGTCATTTATTCAACACCAAAGGGAGACACTGGGGAACAGGGACTTGAACTGGAGGGATAATAAACAGGCTTTGGGGAGGAAGGAAGAATAAGATGAGAGAGGAAGCCAGGAGCCAGTGGCGGCTCACACATGTAATCCTAGTTACTCAGGAAGCTGAGAGCTGAGGAGCTTGAGTCAAAGCCAGCTCAGGCAGAAGTCTAAGAGATTCCCATCTCCAAATAGCCAGCAAGAAGCCAGAAGTGGAACTGTGGCTCTGTGGTAGAATGTAAGCCATGAGCCAAAAAAAGCTATGGGAAAGTCCCCAGGCCCTCAGTTCAAGCCCCAGTAAACACACACACACACATACACACACACATACACACACACACACACACACACACACACACACACACACACACACGGGAATACACCTTTTCACCCTGAAGCAGGTCCTCAGAGGGTAATTTGTCTGTGCCCTAGGACCCAGTCTTATACCATATAAGGGGGTTACAGTTACATGAGTAAGGTAATGAGTACACGTCCTACCGAGCAGTTACCCCCTTTGTTTTTCCCTTACTATTACCCTTTCCCTCCCCACCTCACCAACTCCTCCCCCCCCCGCCCTGCCACCAACCCCAAAATTGTAAAGTTCGTATTCAACATAGTGTCTTGTATGTCTCATTGTTATACTGGGTCAACCTGTATCCTTGTTTCAGTATTTTGTTATTTTCCCTTCCCCTGTCCAAATTAGAAAAATGTATATACAAGATGCAGGGCACCAGAATCAAATACAGTGACAACAAGGGTTGTACCATAGGGGGAAGAATATACAAAAGAAACAAAAAAATCACATAGTACATTAAAAACAACAGCAACAAAGAAAAAACCTCTTGTGTCCATATCTTGGGGTTCATTTCTCTTAGCATCATCTTATATATTCATATGTACATAGCTTTTGACCTTTTCTGTTTGTCTGTTAAGATTATCTTAGACATATACTAGTTATTGCAAATAAGGGAAACAATGGGAACTATGTTCCTTTGGATCTGGCTTACTTTGCTTAATATTGTTCTATTCTTTTAATGCTCTGTTGAGAGCCCACCATCCCGAGATGCTGCAATTATAGACTTCTGGAAGAAAAGACATTGCAATTCATGTTTGGTGAAGGGTGCACTGAAGAGAAAACCATCCAGTCACATCTTGACCATCTCCAGTGAGACTGCAGACTTTAATAGAAAGATGATATACAAGGCCCTGGAGCCAAACTGAAAAACTCCAAAAGCAAAAAGACATGTCAAGAAAAGAAAAACTTATATTCCATTTTCACATGATGTTCTGCCAAAACCCATGCCCTGAGACCACACAATTTGAAGACAGTAAGTCCTGCTGTGTGGGCTGTGAGGCCTGCTGCTGTCCTTGAAGCACAGCTGGGAAAAGATGCGGCAAAGAAGCTGGCTGGACCCCGAGTGGGAACATAGCCACCAATCACTTCCACCAATAGCCAATGGGAAGTCTAGCTCCACTTGGGGTGCCGTACTCACAGCCCTCACCAGCTCCCCACACATTTCACTGCCGTGTCTGTTTGAGCAATGTTGAACTGCTGGTGTCAGTGTGCCATTTAGGATTGCTCAACTTTAGGTTTCCTGTCCTGTGAAATACTTACACAAGTGATCAGGAGGTAACACCCAGCTTACCATTTCCCTGCTTATCAATTTTCCCCACTGATAACCAAATGTATTCTCTCCCATTTTCCTGTTCCCCAAAAACCTCCCACCACCTACACCAAAAAATAATAAAACCTCTAAAACAATCCCTTTGTGGCTCCTGGTTTCTAGGCCCTCAGCCTCTCCACAGTCTGCTCCTCTTTCTCAACGTGATGGCACCACCATTCTTCAGTTATCACAGTACTGTACCTTTCACGTATACAGCATCGGTACCATGATAACCGAAAAAGGACAGTTCAGTCTCACAGCTAGCCAGCTCCTCCTTCTTTTCTTCCTCCTCCCTCAATCCCAGCCATTTAATCATCTGCAAGCACATGAGCACATGTTTGCACATGTGTGCAGGCACATATATCCGAATTGAAGCAGGCTGCTTCCAGCAAACTCATTTACTTACTACCCATGGAATTGCTTCTTTCACTATATACTTTATAACTCAAGTTTCCAAACTAGCTGTGCCAGCCAGTTAATATACTATCAGCTGAGACAAATGGACAAGCCCCAAACCACAGCAAATGAGACTGCTAAGGCAAAGTGGACTTTAAGAAAACAGAGAGAGTCAAGGGAAGGGGTGATATTATCCAAAAAGAACTGTAGTCATTACCTGACTTATGTAACTATAACTATAACTAAAACTAAACTAAAACTAAGAACACAATCCAAGCTTAGAGAACCAGAAGCTTACCTGTAAAATAGGAACAAAACTGAAAGCACAACTCAAAGAACCGCCTTGTATCTATCATGCAACTTCAATCACACAGGAATGATGGGACTTTTAAGGAAAGCAAGGAAGGCAACAATGCCTGGGTTAAACACCAGGTTCACAGTAGCATTTGCTGCCTCATGTAAGTGAAGCAGTTGAAGCCAGTGATCTGATGATAGAACACATGCACCACAACTCTGTCATTTTGTGCAACTGGAAAAGTAAACTGCACAGAACAGCGAGACTGAAAGGAACCAACTTACGTGTAAGGGGAAAGTGGTCCTAGCAGAACTTTGGAAACATCCTGCTGTCCAAGGGTCATGAGCAGTAGGGCCAGACTTTGGTTGGTTGAGTCCACACACCCACCCTGTAAACACAAACACTTTAATCTTTGTACAAAGCAGAAAATGAAAAGAAAAAAAAGGAGAAGAGGAACAAAGCCATCCAGAAACATACACTAAGAATATCAGAACTCACAGAAAAGCAGACTACAAAAATAAAACAGAACAAGGAGTAATGAGACCAATCCTTATGCCAACTAATTGGAGGTAGTTAAACAAAGTTAATCCTAACAATGATCACAGCTGATATCAGTATGAATGCAAACATTTAAATATCTTAAAGTGTAATGTACTGAAAAAGGATACTTTCCCTTTTATAATCCAAGCAACAGTGGATATCACTTTACTGAATATAACCAAAAACAGGAAAAGAATAAAAAAAGGCAGAGCCAGACATTGGTGATTTACACCTGTAATCCATCCCAGCTACTCAAGAGGCTGAGATCTCAGGATCCTGGTTCAAAGCTGGCCCAGTCGAGAAAATCCATGAGACTCTTATGTCTAATTAACCACTGTAAGTGGAACTGTGGCTGAAGTGGTAGAGAGCTGGCCTGGAGCACAAAATCTCAGAGATAGTGACAAGGCACTGAGTTCAAGCCCATGACCAACGCAACCCCTCTCCCCCCAAAGGGGAAGAATTTTCATAGGTTGTATAGACAAATCTAAGGGTTAAGTAAATAATGCTTCCATTTATTTAATCTGTCACAAAAGAACAATATCTGACACTGGAAGGCCTTTTCCTTAAGGGCCTTATCACTACACTTATTCTAATACACTCAGAAACTGTTCACATGTTCTTAACTTTTCTTCACCTCTTATGTGTGCCTTAAAACTGGAAGACGTAAAAGACTCCTTTTTCTTTCAAACCAGTATACAGAACAAGTCTTTCCAAAACTTTCTCCTGAGGCACAACTGCTTTAATTGTCTTTCTTCCTCCATTTTTCACTTTTCTCACCATTTCAGCCAGTCTACGTATATGTATTACTAGTATTTAAGTTTGTGGCTTTAAAAAAAAAAAACCACCATAATTTCTGATCATTCTTTCTGAGGCTGATCTACAATCTAAATTTACATTGTACAAAGTATAAGCAGGATGGCCTAAACTCTCAACCTATTTTGCATAGATCAGAATGAGAAGTAGTTTCTGACCATCAATCGTAAATAGAACAGTTGCTAGGTTAGACTTGCTTATGGGGTACACTGCCCTTCTTATGGGTTACACTGCCCTGCTATTTTAAGTGCACGTAGGGTGTGTAATAACTCAGTTCCAGGTGCAATCACCCATTCTCTGACTGTCGGACTTCAGTGAGTAGTCCTGACAAGGACATAAGAAATAAGGAAGTTCATTCTATTACTAATCTTTATGAAATTCTATTACTATCCCCAAATTACTTAAGTTAACGAAGGATGGAGAACATCTTTTTCACACAGCAAGATTCAGGACAAAAGTTCCTTTTCCATACAAAACAAAAAGCCTGCCCAACAAACCAAACTGTCCTGCAGATCTTGGCCCCTTATACAATTGCCTCCTGTCACTAAGCTGTTACTGTACCACGCTCAACTGATTTATGTTCGGTATTGGAGCAATATTTCAATACAATAAATGCTTTAGGGTCTCTGGACAGTATGGAGGAAGAGGAGACTACCAGATGTCAAAGGACAGGTTGGAGGGGTCATTTATTCAACACCAAAGGGAGACACTGGGAAACAGGGACTTGAATTGGCTCTGGAGGGATAAACAGGCTTTGGGAAGGAAGGAAGCACAAGATGAGAGGAAAGCAATGACTTGGGGCCAGTGTGGCGGACAGAATCAAGAAGCCAGCCTCTGGACAGCACACACAACCTCAGCAGGGAGGAGGAAGGGTGGTCAGACTGAAGCAGGCCTTCTCAAACTGGGTCAGCCACACTGACTTTATCCCAGAAGCCAGCAGAGATCTCTGTACTCAGGAGTGAAGACGTAGAATCTGTGATTGAAGGAGATTCAGACGGAAAGGATACTGGAGAGGATTTGCGAAGACCTTCCACTAAAGGAGATGGAGAGAGCAATCTCTGAGGTGAGGTGGGGAGGCAGGAAAGCAGGACAATAGGCAGAGCAGTAAAAAGGATGGAATCTGAAGAGCAGTCCCGGGAAGCCCAGTGCAGAACAAGAGGCTGTGTTAACCTGCAAACAGGAGGAATTCAGTCAGAGGCTTAAAACTCTGCACAAAGCGAAGAGTGCCTTCCAAGGAACTGAGTTTTATTACTCATTTAAAATTCATGTCTCATCATGTACCTGTAGACAATTATTCAAAAAATAAAAAAAGGGATGAAGCACTTTTATCCTTCTACTAATTAGACATCACAGACACACAAAGGAAGTTTTGCAAATGACTAAACAATGTTGGCCCAAGAAATGTAAAATGTTAAAAAGATCTCAATTAAAGAAAATAAATAATGAAATGAACTAATTCAGACTGCATGTTTCTTGTCTTGTATCCGACAGGCCTGTCCTTTTACCCTGAAGTAAATAATCTGCTATTTATGGAAATGCAAAACCCAAATCCCAGCTGTGCTGGGTCCCACCCCTCCCCCACCACTGAACGGCCCTGTGATGGGATGCTTTCAATTTTCCCAAGACCTACTTAAAAAGGACAGAAGTGTCCCTGCAGCCAGAGAGAGGACCTGGGAAAAGGAAACTGGAGGAAGGAGCCTAAGAAACAGACAGACAGACAGACACACACACTACAATGGGCAGCTGACAAACTTCATAAATTAACTGGCAGAGTAACTGCCCCACCATTTACTCACAAACTTTTAGCAATTATTCCTCATCTTTCCAAAGCATCACTAAATTTAACATCAGAAAATGAGTTAATGCAGCACTAAAAACTGCAGCGGACTTGACTGCGCAAGACCTGTGACAGGACATGTCCTGCGGCAGATGACATTTGTTCCTCCACCATTTCCCGCTGGTTCCCAAACAGTGGCAGGCAGAAGTCTGCAGCTGCGTTTCAAAGGCGGCTCACCTTTGGTGTTTTGTCTCCCAATTTTTAATTCCATAGATATTAAACAGATGTGGGCATTTTAATTAATTCTGAGAGTTCATTCTCTCTAGCACCACCTTTCAAGGTTGCTGCTTTGGATTAGGTTGGCGGGCTGTGACTGTCAGCTGGCCTAAATTGTGAGGCCAGTTTCAGGAGTACACAGATGATGAGCCAGGCTTTTCTTTACCACAGCAAATTAATGAACTGACGCAGTGACCAAAGAGTAGGTTGTAAGAAAAACAAAGTTACCTCTGTATCCTTTAACTGGACCTTATTTTTACAGTCCCAAATGTGCAATTTTGCTATTTTAAAAAGGACAAAACAGTTTTACTATTTTAAAAATGGACAAAGTCAGAGATGAGTGAAAATTATAAAGAAATATACATAGAAATGGCAAATATGAAGTCTGCAGCTCCTCATGGACAGAGATGATTAGGAAGCATTATATACTCTCCAACAACAAGCCACCTGAAGAATAGTTCTTGCTAGTGTTCAGTTGAAGAATGTGGGGCCCTGCAAACACAGAACAGAGAAACAACCATCTGTCTCAGAGCCTGTCCTGGACTTTCCCTATGGAAAACGCGAGGCACAACCAAGGCAAAAAAAAGACAGTAACATCGTGAAGCAGGTGTGTGACCCTCCCAAGCAAATCATATAGATCTTAGAGCACTGTATTTTCAGTTAACCTCATCTTCATCTTGTTGGTATCTCCGTCTCCCACCATTCCTTCCCTACTTTTGGTCACCACAACTACTGAGGTGCATGGATGATCAACACACGGTGGCCAGGGAGAAAGCAGGTGACCTAAGTTGCTTCCTACCACATAGCCATAGAAACAAAACAGCTACCAGTTCAAGTCTGTCTTCAACGATGTGTCAACCTTTGTCTATCCCAGTTCTTGTTCTTTCTATAACCCCCCTACCACACTATACCACAGGCCTGCCTCCCTGGGCTTTTCTAATGTTCCAGAAAAGCCTGAAAAACCTAGCCTATAGACATTTTATCTTTGAGTCAATTATCACATACAAATTTAGATTTCTAGCGTCTCTCAGAGTTTTAACGATAGCCAGGTGCTGGCGGTTCATGCCTGTAATTCTACAACTCAGGAAGTTGAGAGCTGATGACTGTGATCCAAAGATAGCCCAAGCACAAAAGTCTGAGACTCTATCTCCAATTAATAAACAAAATAGCAAAGCTCAAGTGACAGAACCTCAGCCATGAGTTAAAAAGCTGAGCAAGAGTGAGAAGTCCTGATTGTTCAAAGGCCCAGTACACACACACACACACACACACACACACACACACACACACACACACACACACAGAGGCTGAAGGCAAGGATACGTATGGCAGCAACTAGTAAAACAGGGAGATGGTACCCTCTCTCGTGAGGGATCATCTCACCTGCTTCTTGCTTGAACTCAGCACTGGGTGCTATCCCTGAGTTTTTATTACCGTCAGGACTAACACTTTATCACTTAGAGCTACAACTCTACTTCCAGTTTTCTGGTCAGTTAATTGGCGATAAGAGTCTCATGCACTTTCCTGCCCAGACTGGCTTTGAACTGTGATCTTCAGATCTCAGCCTCTTGAGTAGCTAGGATTACAGGTGTGAGCCACCAGTGTCCAGCTCACCTACTTCTTTTTGGAGGTTGCTTTGGAGGGCTAGTGGAGGATGGGGACAGGGGGAGGAGCTGTTTTATTTTATTTTTCATCCCAGGATTTGAACTCTTCATCTAACGCTTCTGCTCACTGGCTATCGTTTTACCACCTGGGCCATGCCTCCAACGCCTAGATTTTTCTTTTTAACCTTCATTCCCATCTGTTCTAGTTCTTTCCTCTGTTCCCCCATTCATCACCACGTATCTGCTCTAGATCCCAACCCAAGAGGGACTGGATGCCTTCTTCTTGAGCAATTCAATCAACTAATTAAAGTGTTGCATGCACAGGCACAGGTTAAGTCTTTGGAGAGGAATAAGAATGACAGACTTCCGATAGCTTTTTCCTGGTTGTTCCTTTTCCAGCACCTAGGAAGCGGCTTAGGACATACCCTGTAGATTTCTTCCAGCAGCAGCTGGGCACAGTTCCTCCCGAGGTCCTCTGGAAGCACTGCTGCTCCCTGACCCTGGGGGTTGGAGGCGAGTTCAGCACTGAGGAAGGTGCCATTGGTGGTCTCAGCAACCAGTGACAACCCAAAGCCTGGAGATCTGCAGACACAAAGGTTCAGATGCTGAGTAGGTACAGCACATATACCAGCAGGCAGAAATCAAAGACAGACATCTTTTGGATGGCATTTTATCCTAAGGCTATATATCCTAAGGTTATATTAAGCCTTACCAGACTGCCCCCTAGTTTACACTGGAAATACAGCCTGCTGTATAAGGCACACTCAAGAGAGATGCAAAGTTGACGCCACTTGTCCTACAAACCCTTCTCCCTCCCTCCAACCCGACAACCAGTAGGACATGATGAAGTAACATCAACAGGGTGACCAGATGGTGAGCAGCTACTTCGTAATTACAAACCAAGCACAAACTTACATCATGCGTTGGTTTTTCTATGTAATTTTTCAATGGTGCATAGAGTTAATGGCCCACAAGTCTACATCATTTCTCATTGTACACTTTGACCCTTGTGTTAAGATTTCCACTCACCATCAGCAAGTATGAAACTTGATCGTGTGCTAGGGTCGCTGAGTCACTGGCACTATAAAAAGCCACACCAGTTGGTGGCAGGCAGCGAGGCCTCCTGGCCTGCTCTGCTTCAGTCCTGCCCACTTTTTGGTAAGGATAGCGATCAGACAGAAAGGGAACCTTTATCAAGATCTGACCCGTCAGACAGCAGCTTCTACTGTAACCTACGCTGCCTCAACCTTCTGTAATCTCCTCTATAGAAAATAGTTGACACATTAATTAATTCTAGACCCAAAGCCAAAAAGGCAGGGTAAAGCCAAGGTTAGATTTGCAGGCACCATTTCTGTAGCATCCACTATGTGCCAGAAATCATACTGTTAGCTTACATTCAGGATTGCTTCATATGTACAATAACCATGAGGATGCAAGCATTAGTACCATCTATGAACAAATGAGAAAAAGACTATTGATGTTTAAGTCAAAGGTATGGGCTCTTCCCTGACCTTTCTAATCCCCACAGGAAGGGCTAGCTTTGCACACAAATCCTTTCCCAACTGTAACCTCTGGTACCTCTTTTCTGTTGCTTTGGACTCTGAGTCACCACCATGTGTCTGAAATCACCTTTATCTTTCTATTGGGCCCCAAAGGTCAAAGATTCCCACTCACTCAATACTCCTCCCCGCCTTCATTTTTCTTCTTCTTTTTTTTTTTGAAAGTTTTAGCAAAGGTTTAAGTTAAAGAAGGGAGAAATAGAAAAAGAGAAAGATTCATGTCCTATTCTTCATGCAAAAAATAGGAATTAAAGAATCTCACCCTTACTCTGACCTTCTTGCTAACTCATAAGAACTAACCTCAGACTCTGGGAGTCTTACTGTTCAGAGATAAAACTAACAACTTCAAATTCAAAACATTAAAAAAAAAAGATGTCATTACTTACCTGAGAATGATTTCACAAAAAATTAAAACAAAACCCACAAAGAAAAATCCACGAATGTGGCCAAATATAAATTGTTAAGCCCAAACAACAGAAAAATACACAAGTGTTTTACTGTACTATTCCTCCCATTTTTCTATAGTTGGAACACTTTTTTAAGTAACGAACATGATTTTAATTGCTCTCTAATATCTCAATCCTAAATACATAATAAGCTCAGTCTAAAACAGACATTTGCATTAGATAGATCACCAAGTTCTTCTATTTTTGTTTTAATTTTTCTTATTTACAATGGTCTTAATTTTCTAATATTTCCAGTGCTGGAGATGATACATGTTAGAAGTTTATTTAAACTTCTACTTAGTTTTTGTTCGTTTGCTTTGCTGTTACGGTTTGGGGTAATCTTGAACTCACCATCTTCACGCCTCAGTCTCGCAAGTGGTATGACTGGAAGTGTGCGCCACCACATCCAATTTTGGTCTACAGGTTAGCAAAAGTTTTAACAAAACCAAACTCAAATCTGCAAGAGCAACTTCCTCTACATATACATATTCCCACAGATACAGTGGGAAGTTAATTTGCATTAGGTAACAGCAATTTTTTTTCTCTTCTTGGAACAGAGGACAAATGGGATTTAAAGTAAAGACATTGTTTATTAATAGGTAGGTTTTAATTGTCCACAACTCAAGATCTAACCCAGTGCCAGCCACTGGGACACTTTCCATGTGACAGCACTCAAAAAATGCCTATTGGTGACTACAGCAACAAGTCAGAAGGAAATTTATTTCTGAAATCATTCTTCCTCTGTAGCCCACCCTTGGAGCTGGTAGTTTTACCTTCAAGTAGAATAAGGCGCATGAAGTAAATTCTAAAATTCAGATACTTACTTCCCAGAGTTGAGTCCCTTCATGTGGTCTGTGTAAATATAGATATCAGGTATGAACTTGTTGAGGATGCTCCTTGCAGACTCCACGATGCGGTTGGCCATTTGAGGCGACACACGCACCGAGTACCTGTAGCCTAGAGTTAAGGATATAACGTTGCTTGGACCTCAAGCAGAGAAGCTGGCAAGGATTTGTCAAACTATCAACACAAACCAGGACTTAGAATTCCATACGATTCCAGCTATATGTAATTGCTTAACTTTCTAGTACCATCACTCAACTTTTTTATTTTTTTGCCAGTCCTGGGACTTGAACTCAAGACCTGAGCACTGTTCTTGAGCTTCTTTTTGCTCAAGGCTAGCACTTCTACCACTTGAGCCACAGCGCCACTTCTGGCTTTTTTTTGTTTATGTGGTACTGAGGAATTGAACCTAGGGATTCATGCATGCTAGGCAAGCGCTCTACCACTAAGCTACATTCTCACTCTCAACTTTTCCCATTATTATCCAAGGCCCACATGCTCATAGTAAGGAAAAAAAAAATCTAAATGAGAATGGAAAGTTTAAATTCAAGATTCTTCAACGTGGACCCTAACTTCCTACCCATATTTCCTTTCTCTAGAGATTGTCCAACGGAGAAGGCACGGAGACACTTGCCTCTTTCTGCAGGTATCTTCCTTTAAAGGTACCACATGCAAGAACACCTCTCTATTCCCTGTCCATTTCTGTGGCTACATGCACGAAGCCCTTCAATAAGAACCTAAAGCTAGGATATACTCTTCCCTGGGCGGAACCTGCCTGTCTCCTGGTGTGCTAACATTTAGTCAAAGATCAAGGTGGTTACTGTTACAAAGTTCTAAACAGTTTCTCCCTCCCCCACCCCGACTCAGAGCCTATTTCCTATTATTTAAGCATCACTCCACTTGTGGGTAATACAGACTCCTCCACCTGCTAACTTATGGTGAGGAAGAATGATAATTACTAGCACTTCTACTATATGGCACCTGAGAAAAGGAGGAAATTACTGGGCACAAGTGTTTGAGGAGATAGAAATTATTATACTTGAAAGCAACAACACATGCTAAATTTAAAAAAAAAAGGACTGTGCACTTTCAGTGTGCAATGTGTTATATGATCAAGAGATGGCTACATGAAAAAATACCAAAAAGTGACCTTCCCTCTCTCCCTATACAGACCCACACACCGCAAGTGTGTCTGTGTGATCTTCCCACCGCAGCACAAATGCTGGAGGATTACGATGAAGAACACTTTTCACTTAAGCTGAGAAACAAAACTGTTGTACAAGGAACTTGACTAAGCATCACATCCCGAACCCTTCGCAAGCTGAGTGAGTGTCCCAGAGGCCAGCGACCCTCCTCCATCTTGCCAGCCCGCTGTGGACTACACAGCATTTGTCCCCTGATATCTTTATTTGATTTGGTATCCTTAGCTCCTTCCACCTGTTCAGCTTTACCAAATTCTCCCACCTCAACTATCTTCCCCTCTTCTTCCAACCTCGAATTCCTCCTCTTTCCCCTGAAGCCCTCTCACCTCTCACTACAATCTCCACTTGAACTTACCGCACGTCTCCCTTCCCCTACACACACCTCGTTCTTGCTCTGAAAGACACCACACACTCCATAAGGACAGCGGCTTGACTGCTGCATCCCTAACTCTGATGCTCCTACTTTTATACTCAGAAATGCTCAATAAATATTTGACTTGACTCAAAAGGACAAAACTGCAATGGGGAAAGAGCAAAGAATTTTTCAATACACAAGAGCTCGGTTACATCACCACCAAATTGTACTTTTGACCACAGGCAGTTTAGACAAACAGTCCTGGGTCTCAGATGCTTTGGACTGAGTGGGTACCTCTCGGCCTGACATTGCCCACTTTCCTCAAGATAGCACAAGAGATGCCATTATCATAATCAATCACATTTATGGCTCTCAAAAAAAAAATTTTTTTTTTGGGTCCGGTCGTGGGGCCTGAACTCTGGGCCTGGGCGCTGTCCCTCAGCTCTTCAGCTCAAGGTTAGCGCTCTACCACTTAAGCCACAGCGCCACTTCCGGCTTTTTTTTTCTGCTTATGTGGTGCTAAGGAATCAAACCCAGGGCCTCATGCATGCAAGGCAAGCGCTTTACCATTGAGCCACCTTCCCAGCCCCCCCTCAAAATTCTTTTACGTATATTATTATCACTTTATTTTATATGTGGAACAGGCCTATGGTAAGGGTCATGATTCCTAGTTCCAGGGTTTAATCTAAAGTAAGCCTGTGGGTTGCAGAGCTAAGTTACTTGCTCAAAATTCAAACGATTTGGCTTCAAAATACATATTCCAACTGGGCATTGGTGATTCACGCCTGTAATCCTAACCATTCAGGAGGCTGAGACCTGAGGATCGTTCAAAGGATGGTCTGAAGCCAGCCCTGGGCAGAAAAGTCCACGAGACTCTTATCTCGAATTAATCACCGACACACACAAAAAAAGGACAGTAGAGCTGTGACTCAAGTAGTAGAGCATTAGCCTTCAGCAAAAGAAGCTCAGAGACAGAGACATAGGCCCCAAGTTCAAGCCCTAGGAATGGCAGGAAAAAAAAATTCCAGCTGCTCTGGAGGGGATGGCTAGAAGGACCGCAGTTTGAGGTCAGCCTGTGCACAGTTAACAAGACCCCATCTCAACAAACAAGCTGGGCCAGGTGTTTCTTACCTGTAGTCCCTACTTACATAGTAAGCCACAGGTAGGACTACAGCCCAAGGCCAGCCAGCCAACCCCAGGCAAAATCTGAAACCCTATCCAGAGAATAGCTAAAAGTAAAAAAAGGATGGGGGAGGAGGACACAGTTCACCTGGTAGAATACCTGAGCAGCTATGTCCAAACCCTAGTACTAAAGAGAAAAATGTAAAACCTATATTCTGGCTTCATCATTTAACTCTTACACATGGGATCGTGAGCTCGGGGACAGCACCACAAAACTAACACAGAATGTTCTTTCCTCTTCCCTCCCTCCCTCCCCCTCTCAGCCCCATTAGGCAATAAGGGAGGATCAGAGTGGGTGGCATTCAATAAAAGGTAACTACTGTGCAATCACAGCCAGCAGCCAACACCAACTCCCTCTAGACTCTGCCAGTCAGTCTTCGACTGGGAGGGGAGGGGACGAGGGAGATTCGGTTAAAACCACACTTCTCCCAACTTGAGCCCTCTTAGAGGAGGGGAAAAAAAGAAGACGAAGAAAGGCCACCAAGCTCAGTCCAACAGTCAAGCAGCCTTACACCAAAAAGAAAGAAAGAAAAAGGACAAAAGTGAAGTCTTTTCCAAAGGCAGCTTCCCCCCACCCCCATCCCACTGCCCCCCCAGGCTCCAAACTTGGCAGGGAACGTGCTAATTCAGCCCACATTCCTTTGAGGTGCTTGTTTAATAGTGCAGCTCTGCTGACCAGTAGTTGGAACATTGGGCCTCTAGACAGGAGACTGAGCAAGTGTGGCATGTTGACTTTCCTGGCAAGCAGAGAGGAAGCTTCTACCAGTGAGAGAGGCACCAGGGATGGTTCAGGTATTCCATCCAGGGCTCAGAAGGGAGGGATGTAGACTGACCTGGCTGGTCTCCTGCAGATGCAAGGCTCCAATTATACAGCCAGGAGGAATCAGGGAGCGACAAAGCTGCACCTACAGGGCCAGGCTACCAGTCTTCCAGTTTCTAGGCACCCCTCTATAAAGCCCCCAAGACAGCCTTGAGGATGCTCTCAAAGGATCGTTCACAAGACTTGGAACAAAGAGCACACAGTTACCCCAATATGGTAGCCTCCAGGAGAACCTATGGGACTGTGATTTTTAAAAAAAAAAAACAAAAACAACTAGCATTTTGGGCAAGTGATTGTGAAAAATGGAAAACACATGGTGACGAACTATGTTGGATATGGAGGTTCCCTGGACGGTGGACCTAAGGCAGCAATCACGAGATCCACCTGTAAGTGACTGACACAGATCTGTAGAAATGGCGTATTTGGTTTACAAAATACACATCTAGTCTCATTGCATTTCTATTACTTCGTAGTCTTCTCCATAAACTGTTCCAGCTGCAAAGAATACTAGCAAGAGTATCACCTGAGGAAGTCATCTGGGGGGCCCAGGACAAGCGCCACTTCTCAACCTGCCCGCAATCTCCCCTACCTTCCTACAGGGCCGAGACTTGAGGTAAGTCCCAAGACAGCCATGCAGAGAACACATCCAGGCAAGTTTATTCTATATTCCTGTAGATTTGATGATATACTCTCTCCCCCCTCTCTCTCATTTTATGTTTTCTTGATACCGTTGTGGTGCTGTCTTTTCTTTTCTTTTCTTTCTGGCAACACCAGGGTTTGACCGTAGGCCGCAGTTCTCACCTGGTTTACTTGCTCATAGCTGGCACTCTAACCCTGGAGTCATTCCTCCAGCCTTGCTTTTTGCTGGTTAACTGGAAATGAATTCTACAAACTTTTGTGCCAGGGCAAGCCTCAAACTGAGATCCTCTGGATCTGAGTCTCCTGAATAGCTAGGATTATAGGCATGAGTTACTGGTTGGTGTCTAGTTACAAGTTTCATTTTTATGTCAATAAGTGCTCTCTCGAACTATAAGGCAAAGAAAAAGTTAAAAGCCTAGCTCCAGATAACATACTGATAGGAGAAAAAGAACGAATCAACCTAGTCATACTAAAGCATAAAAATACAAGCACTGTGCCGGGCATCGGTGGCTTTTATCTATAATGCTAACCATTCAGGAGGCTGAGATCTGAGGGCTAAGATTCAAAACCAGCTCAGGCAGAAAAGTCCGTGAGACTCTTAGCTTTAATTAACCACAAAAAAAGCAAGACGCAGAACTGTGGTTCAAGTGGTAGAGCACTACCCTTGAGTACAAAAGCTCAGTACCCAGGTGGAGTTCAAGCCCCAGGATTAACACACACACCAATAATAATAATAAAGCATTATATTCAACTAATAGTTACAATCTCACTGTTTCAAAAATGTTTCCATTATTGTCTCAAATTTAACCGTCCTAGGAAGAAATAAAGCCGTTAAGTAAGTCATTCTGATCTAAGTGAGGCAGAAAAGAATGAGAAATCTAAACCCATGTAAGGATACGCCATTCCTCTAATTCGTTTGATTTTTCCTGGATCCGTGAGCTGAACAGGCTTCAGAACCTTCCTTACAGGACAAGAGAAAATCACTTCGCCGCCTCCTCCGGGAGGCATTCCACGTCGTACAATCTGCATAAAATGGGAGAGGCGGAGGTGAAGAAACTGGCTAGACAAAGACACAGCGGGAGCAAAGTGAAGTCCCCAGGTGCCAAACTGGGGAAGGTTTTCTCCATGGCTCTTCTTCACATGTTTGTTGTTGTTGTTTTGTGGGTCATGGGGCTTGAACTCTGGGCCTGGGCGCTGTTCCTGAGCTCTTCAGCTCAAGGCAAGCGCTCTACCACTTGAGCCACAGCGCCATTTCCTGTTTTGTGGTGGTGAATTGGAGAGAAGAGTCTCAGGGACTTTCCTGCCCAGACTGGCTTTGAACTGCAATCCTCAGATCTCAGCCTCCTGAGTAGCTAGGATTACAGGAGTGAGCCACCGGCACCTGACTTCTTCATCTTAAGCCCTTCAAAGTCTGTAGCATCTAAAGTCAGTGACAAGAGGGAGCAGATCAAAGTGGCTTCCTCTTTACCTACAGAAACAGGCCACTTCACTACCTGGGTCTGTTCTAGGATCCTAGTTTGTCAGCTGATCTCATTTCTTAACCACTGGAAATCCGTTATTATCTTCTTATGCAAACTTCGCATCTACTAAAACTCTGTATTATCCCAAAATTTTTTCTTCTATTTAAATCTAATTTCTTCTATTTAAAATTATAAAATGAGCTGGTGTCTGTGGCTCACGCCTGTAATCCTAGCTATTCAGGAGGCTGAGATCTGAGGATCACAGTTCTAAACCAGCCTAGGGAGCTGAGTTCATGAAATTCTTATCTTCAATTAGCCATGAAAAAGCTGGAAATGGAGCTGTGGCTCAAGTGATAGAATGCTAGCCTTGAGTTTAAAAAGAAAAGCTCAGGGACAGCGCCCAGACCCTGAGTTCAAGCTTTAGGACCAGCACAAAAAAATAAAATGAAAAAGAGATGTCCAGTATCACCATACTTGATTGCTTTATTCCTTTCCTTTCGATAATAAAGAGATGGGGGGGGCAGATGAATGAAGAAAAGAGAGGGAAAATGCAGACAAAATCTAATGTATATCCTACAAAATTAAGAAAAGTGAGGGAAAGGGTAGGTAGGGGAGAAATGGGTGAGAATATTGAAAAGTGTGATACTGATCAATTTTATATATCGTATTCATGGAAGTAGTGCTGTGGCTCAAAGTGATAGAGAGCTAGCCTTGACCAAAAAGAGCTCTGGGACAGTGCCCAGCCCCCAGGTTCAAGCCCCAGGACTAACAAAACAAAACAAATTTTAAAAATACATCTACTGTATTCATAAACTGCTTTGTTAAGGGCTGGGAAGGTAGCAGAGTGGTAGAGTGCTTGCCTTGCATGCATGAGGCCCTGGTTTCAATTCCTCAGCACCACATAAGCAGAAAAAGCCAGAAGTGGTGCTATGGCTCAAGTGGTTGAGCGCTAGCCTTAAGCTGAAGAGCTGAGGGACAGCGTCCAGGCCCAGAGTTCTGGCCCCACGATCAACAATAACAAAAACCAAACCTGCTTTGTTAAACAGCAACTCCTTTGTACACTACTTAAAGATAACAATAAATAGTTAATAGATGTTTAAAATACTTGTATAAGGTTTGAGAAATACTGCAAGCTCCTGGACTTTAGTTGCACAGATGATTTAGGTCAGAGAGGCCGTGGGATCACAGTTCTTGCTGCTCGAGAATTGTGAAGAGGAAGGCAGGAATTAAGTCCATGGGAAATGCTCATAGCAGCACCTACCACAAAGTAAGTGTAACATGACTGTTGGCTACTACAGTCATTACTAAAAGGTCGCCTTTAGTTGGAAATCAGTAGTGTCTGGTTGGTAAGCTTTGTGGGTGTTCTGGGACTTCTGATAAACAGTGACTTCAAATCTCTCTCTCTCTCTCTCTCTCTCTCTCTCTCTCTCTCTCACACACACACACACACACAGTCACAACTCTTCCAAATGAGTTCATGAGAAATGTTTGATACTTATACAGAAAGCCAGCAGTTCATACCTTTAGCTCAAACGATTCTCCATCAATCCCAAACTGTTTCAACAAAGGGAGTGCTGTTGCCTTAAGAACATCAACCTAGAAATTAGTTCAGGAAAGAAGTAAGAAAGTTTAAAGTGTTATACAGTCCAAGGAGCAAGTGAGGCTTAGCAACCACAGTTTGCTAAGAGGAAAAGAGAGCTGGCTTACAACGGCTCTGCTTTTGAGTAGATCTACAAGTTTACAAGCCAGGAGGGGAAGGGGGCGCTATCAGCCTGGCGTTCCTCACTGATCACGGGGACCTGCACTATCTTAAAGTCACTGGGGGCACTATATGCAACATGGGAAAAACTGCCGAACTCACACAGAAAACTAACCTGGCCCTTGTTCATTCTCATTTTCTTCCCTAATTCCTCTTTTTCTAAGATGGCCTTTTAATGTTTAGAGCTGGGGGCACAATGAGCCTATGCAAACCAAATAAAATATTCAAGGTGAATCCAGCCAGGTGTAGGTGGTATTTCTACATGAATGTACGGGTGGATGGGGCTAAGACAAACCTCAAAGTACATGAAGAAGCACAGGACCCCCCCCCCCAACTTCATTCAGACCACGCCACCTGCTTCTGTTATGTCTTTCCCAGTTTCTAGGTCTTCCCTAGTCACCTGTGGATCCTCATAGGGTGTGCAAATGACATTCACATCATATATACCTAACAAGCCCATAAATATTGCTCAGCTACACACAGGAAAGAGAATTACTCCCATACCTGCTCACTAAGGAATGAGCCATTCCCTTTGAAGCCTATGAGCCTGACCTACTAGGGGCAGCGAGGAAAGGTAAAATGAGCAAGAGGGTCCCAGGAGAAGCCCAGTCCTCCTGGCTCTGCCACTAACTCACTGCTTGGTCTCAAACATGAAACTCACAACTACCTGAATTTCCTTGTCTATACAATAAGGGCTTTAAGCTTAGATTGTCGCCAAGCTGGCAACAACTCCGGGAGGCTGATTCAATAGATGATAATGCAACAAGGCTTTAGGACAGAAGACAAGTTATAAGTAAATTTTCTGATATCAGAAAATAAAACAGTATCATAAAAATAAACTCATAAAACCCTAAGAACGTGCTCAGGATTGGTCAGTTGCGGCAGGGATAGTGACTAGGAAAACTTATTCAAGATTTTTATTTGAATCAAGGTTAAGATTTCAATGCTGCATTCTGATGCAACATTAAGCAATTTCATCCTTGCTTGAACATCATATCCTGTCCGTATATAACCTGTGTGCAACAATCTAAAATGTGTTGTTAACTCAATCTCCACACAATTACCCTCAACTGCATTACTGATTGTGGATCTCCTTCCTCTAGCAACCCTACAGTTTGAAGGTCTGCTCCAAAATTCATGCTAAACTATATTTGCCAGTATAACACTTTTAAGATGTAGGACCTTTAAGATGTCATTAAGTCATGAGGATAAAGGTGATTATCTTGGGAGTGGGCTCCTGATCAGAGGATGCATTTGATAAAAAGGATGCTCTATCTCACCACTGTGAAATCCAGGTACTACATCAAGACACAGCACAAAGGCTTTCACCAGATTCTGGGAGAATTCCTAGCCTCTAGAACTATAAGAAATAAATCTTAGACTAGGAGGATGACTCAGTTGGCACAGTATTTGTCCAACAAGTGCAAGATCATGAATGAGTTCAATCCCCACTATAAAAGAAGAAGAAAAAAAAGGAATACAGAAAAGAACCTCCCTGCTTTATACATTAGCTAGTCTCAGGTAGTTTGTTATAGCAAAGTAAGCAAGGTAAAATGGACTGGGATACTGGTACTCAGCACTGTTCTTATACTCCTATCAGGGCCCAGGGAAAATCAGCCTTATTAGCTCCCCAGCTGTGTTTACAGCTGCCCATACTATTGAATGAAGCTCTAGGGTCAGAATCAATCCTGGTATTCATCCATTTATGAAGAGAGGAGCTGGGGACATGAACTGACAGGGAAACCATACAAAGAAAGCTTGAAATGAAAATGGCACAGGATGAAGATGCTATGTTCTTTATCTAGCCACACCACCAGTCTGATCTTTATTATTTCTATTTCTAGAGGCAGGGGAAGTCCAAGGGCATGTTTAGTTTAACCTAGGCTACAGCCAGGTACTCATGATCATTTTAGTCATGTAATAATAAAAGCAGATGGCAATAAAAACTGACTTGTTTTTTAATATTGTGCATAAAACACTCACTGTGAACATGTAAAACATGTTTTTTTTTTAAAAAAAACCTGTTTAACTGCTAATCAAAACCAATTTTTTAACATTATCAGCCATCATAGAAAAAGAAAATAAAACTGAGATACACTGTGCTACCGTTTTCCCATCACGGAAGGTACTTTCCCTCCTTGCAATCTGAAAGTGGATCTAAAAAGAAGTGCATACTAAATGACCCCAAGCTGCTGACCGCATATAGGGTATATATGTGCACATCGGAGGGAAACTAGAAGGAAGACACAGAACCAGAGGGAAATGGAAAACATACAACAGCAAGACCCATCAGCTGTTCTGGACATTGATCAAAACGAACTAAGCAACTCAATGGCAGCAATGGGAGGGAGGGAATGAGTGGGAAAGAGGGAACAGCTGACATTAAACAAAAGGAATGTACATGTCACCTGATGTGAAAGAAATAACTGTATTGTGAAAGCTCATAGAACTGATAAACTTTATAGACCACAATAGAGACAATTTGCCCCATGGCGGTTAGAATGTGTTTGTGACTTTAAGTACCACTATCCCATAATACTATGAAATTTGTGAAATTTATGTAATCATTTAATCACAATAAAAAAATTGCAAAAAAATAAAAAGAAGTGCAATCTAAAAGTGCAATCTCAACTTGACCATATCACTTCTAATCAAAGGGCTCATTTCCTAGAACTGTCTAGAAAATGCCAAGGGGAAAAAGCAATCAGTTAATTTAAAATTCTGAACCACTCATGCAACATTCCTCTAAGGATAAAAATTTCAGCTATTTCACTGTATTCTAGGAGGAAGAGTTTACTCAACTGAGTTTCCAAGAATTTAGAAGTAACTTTTCTACTGCCTTAAGAACATATTAACTGTGTTTAGACTTTAGTGGGTATCTGGGTAAAGACCAACAGTTTTACCTTGGGGCTGCTCACTACGTCACTAAAGATCCTTCTCAGTTAGGAGAACTACACTTCACAAGTGACCTCAGAAGCTATCCATTTTATGGGTTATGGCATGTGTCCACAGTGGTAAAAACAAGATTACCTCTTCCTTCAGGACTTCAGGGCCATCAGCTTTCCAATACCTTCTCTGGACCTCCCTAAGAGATGTCTAAGACTGTCACAAAATCAACTGTGGGGGCTAAGACGAAAACTGTAGTTGGATATTAAACTATTGTCCCCATATATATATATATATATATATATATATATATATATATATACGAAAATTAGTATGCTTGATAAAAAGCCTGCCAGTACCCATAATCTATCAAAGCTCACATATTCCTCTCCTACCCTTAGGCCTTTTTGTCTAACTCTGAAAATTCCTAAGACAAAGAAAGGCCTTGAGTTCATGACTGAAACCTGCATAAGTAACGATTACACTGTGGCATTGCCAAGAGATATGATTTCCTACTTAAACCTTTGATCTGCTGCCTCCTAGCCTGAGCTCTCACGTGACCTTAGAAACTCTTCATTCCCGCAATACAGACAAACAGAGCCATCTTTCATGTCAGGCATGATGAAATGGCCAGCACCTGTTGTGAAGGTTCCTAGACATAACAATGGAAGGTGTCTTGCTGGAATGTTAGCAACCATCCCCAAAATGATCCTTTCAAGTCTGGGTTCATCTGCTTCATGGAATGCATTGACCTCAGATTTAAGGTAAATAACAGAAAGAGCATGCTCCAAAATAAAAGTAAGTTTAAAACAAAAGGGGAATTACACCATACACAACATAGTTTGGCCTCAATACTCACTGAAGGATCAACTTGGTCATTGGTCACTCCTCGCAGAACTATTTTTAACGGGTGCTTCATAAATGGAGCCAGGCAAAGAAGTCCTTCTAAGTAATAGCCAATGCTTCGAAGGACGCTACAGTCATGTTCCACAGTTCCTCCATACAGAAGGCCAGGCTGATAATACAGTGTTGTTCCTTAAAGTGGAGAAAAACAAAAACAAAAAAAAACAACCAAATGCAGCAGGAACAAAACCAAGTGTCACAAGACAACGAAGGCAAAAAGTCATCCCAAGGGGAAAATCTGACAAGGGCATCCAAGGGAATTCAAAATACCATTCCTGAGAGCCACACTTCACTCCAAAAGCTGACTCACTAACTGTCAAGCCTCTGTAACAGTAATAAACCGTGAGAGTAATTTAATAGACAGTAATAAATTAAAACTCTCCCGAGCCATCTAAGTTGCCAATGTCACAGCAGGGCACACAGGGCTCTACATGGGCACCCACACCTCCTGGGGGCATTGTCTCAGATCATGCTGATTGGAGGTGGTCTTAGTCTACCAGTAGCCTGCATTCTCTAGGCCCTTGAAACAAGTGTTCATACATCATTTTATTTGCCAAACAAGATCCCCAGGAAAAGGTGGGACTTATGGCACTTCATGCTATTCCTGGCAGCGATTCCAATTTAGTATTAGTAAATGCAAAGACCACAAATTATTTCATGGCATTAGTGGACGACCTTCATCATCCTTGCTTATTTTTTTCTTTTTCTTTTTGAACCCAGGCCTTTTATTGTTTTTTTTTTTTTTTTGTCAGTCGTGGGGCTTGAACTCTGGGCCTGGGCGCTGTCCCTCAGCTCTTCAGCTCAAGGCGAGCGCTCTACCACTTGAGCTACAGCGCCACTTCCCCAGGCCTTTTAGCCTAGCTGGCATTTTAGCTCATTTGATGCTATACCATTTGAGCCACACTTCCATTGATACATGGTATATATGACTAGAGGATAAAATATTCTGCCTTGTGAATCACTAAAAAAGGACTTTAATTTGGGGGGGAGGGGGAATTTGGATTTTTGTTGTTGTTGTTGTTAATTTGGCCAGGGGAAAATGGCTCATGTTTGTAACCCTAGCTACTTAGGAGGCAGGATCTGAAGATCACAATCAAAGCCAGCCCAGGCAGGAAAGTCTGTAAGGCTCTTAGCTCCAATTCACCACCAAAAAGCTGTGGAAATAGAGCTGTGGCTGAGCAAAAGAAGCTCAGCAACAGTACCCAGGCCCTGAGTTCAAGCCACAGGACACACACACACACACACACACACACACACACACACACACACACACACACACACACACACACGGAAGCCAACATATGAGAAAGGCCAAAAAATTGTGGAACAAGGGTATATAGCCCACAGAATCAGCCCCAGGATGCTTGCCATGGTCTCTTGTAACAGCAAAAAGTGAATCATAAGTAGTGGTTACTTCAATTATTACTCATCCAAAAAGCCCATAGAAGTACAGTGGTAGACCAGTTCCTGAAGCAAGGAAAGCTCTGAGACACACGTGCTACTGAAAAAACTCTGGCTGCAGAAAAACACGAAAAACATGACCCTGTTGATGGTTGGGTTTGTACAGGGGTTCATATAAGCTAATGCTGTGACACTGGCTATCCCTAGAGAAGACTGTCAAAAGAGAATAAGAGGTGTATTTGTTGTAATTAGAAAGTTCTTATAAATCTACAAGTAAACACTCAAGGACGGTAAAGGACAAGAAAAAAAAATACAGCAGAACATGATAAACTATTTAGAATTCTAGACATTCACAAAGTGAGTCCAAAGGACGATATTCTTAGGAAAGAATCACCAAGGTTCAATAGCTATGGGCATATGATTAAATAAAATGATGTTTAATCCAAAAGAACTCCAAGAAATGGAAACAAGAGGTTTTATGTTATTTTTGCTTTCTTGTGGGTTTTTGGGGGTCACTGTTTTTGATAGCTGTACCTTTTATCTTGTATGTAAGTTTATGTGTTTGCGGGAGGGTAAGGGAGAGCACAGAAATGGTGGAACAAAGGGTGAACAAATGCAGCAGTGACATTCACTAGACACTATGTAAAAAATGAATGATATAACTTATGGGGGAGAGGAACTGGGAATAGGTGACACTGTTCAAAAAGAAATGTACTCATTACCTATACAGGTATGACCCCTCTGTACACCTTTACAGTAATAATAAAATAAGTAAAAATAAAAGTAAGAGAATAGAAGTGAAGGACTTCTCACATTTTGTGCATCTTTTTGTACAAATTTTAAGAGACAAACTTTAAATAAAATAGGTATCAGTACATACAAACTCAGAATCTGTTGTAAGAACTTAATATGATGGTATAAATAAATGGACTTTGAGAAGTTTTGCATAAATGCTACACCAGGGCACCAAGTAGCCAGGATAAAAAGAGTGGCTAGACACTGGTGGCTCATGGCTATAATACTCGGGAGGCTGAGATCTTAGGATCTTGGTTCAATGCCAGCCCTGGCAGGAAAATCCATGAGACTCACCTCCAATAAACTTCTAAAAAGTCAGAAGTAGAGCTGTGGCTTTAGTAGTAGAATAACAGCCTTGAGCAAAAAAACGCAGGGATAGTGCCTGTGACCTCAGTTCAAGCCCCAGGACAGGCACCCCTCCCCCGCCCCCCAAAAAGGTACTGGCTTGTCATTCATCTGACAATTTTCAGGTAATCATGTGACTGCCACTTAAATTGGAAGACTTCATGTACACCTCTGGACAATCATATAACACAGAAGAAACTAATAAGCCTTTTTATCTGAACTGGTATTTTAATAAGTTTAACTATACTATTCACTCACGGAATTTCATGTTAATCCCAAAAGGTACTTCTACATCATCTAATCTGATAATGACTTAGGTGTACAAAGTGATTAGTAAAATTTTCAACATAATACACTATTTATACCACTAAAAAGGGTAAGAAACAGACTGGGGGGGTGTGGCTCAAATGGTAGAGCATCTGCTGGGAAAGTACAAGACTGAGTTCAAACTCTGCCAAAAAGTGAGAAATGGAGGAATGTACAGCGAGGTATTTACAGGAATTGACAGAAAAGCAGCTTACCTGTTTGGTTGATTTCTATTCGCGAGCCATTAGTTATTTTGTCCAATAGCCTTATGAAGCTGGCTTCAAAATCTGTAAGAAAAAGAGGAAATGCATTGGTCTGGTGTTAAGGTTCTATTTCCAGAAAGCTTATCTGGTCCAGATTCTGCAGGAAAGGACAGGTTACGTCCAGCATCACATCTGGGTTTTCTTCCGGAACTGGCTGAGGAATCTGAAGCAGTGGGAAGCACCAGCTAGAATATATGGTTAGTATAGAACTGCTGGAAAGAGTTCAGCTTTCACATTCACACGAAATGGCAACTCCACCAGCAACCAAATGGAATGTTAATTTCAGCAGCATAAAGTCCATAAAAGATCTGTTCTTTGACCTTAGGATGGCCAAATAGGACAGAAACAGCAGAAAGTAAGGAAGGTTTAAAATTGCCCCCCCACCCCCACCTCTTGCTCCAAAATAACTGAGAGGGGAAATTAAATGGAAGGCCATTAAAGTGGAAATTAAATGGTGTCTCACAGACAGGAAGCGATCACTAACTAGTTCCTTTTTTGGTTTCTTTACGAAGGTGCTTCAACCGAGTACTGATGGCTCACACCTGTAATCCTAGCTAGTCACGGGGCTGAGATCTGAAGACCACAGTTCAAAGCCAGCCTGGGCAGGAAAGACCATGAGACTCTTATCTCCAGTAAACTACTCAGAAAAACTGAAAAATGGCACTGTGGCTTTACGTGAAAGAGCACTAGCCTTGAGCAAAAAGAGCTCAGTGACAGGGCCCCAAGTTAAAGCTCTACAACCAACACCATCTACCCTCCAAAATAAGTAACAGTAATATTATATTGAAACTCTTTAAAAGTTGTTGTTGTTGTTGTTGGTTGTCTCAAGGTCTTTCCTATCTGGGCTGGCCCAAGATCCAGAGATATCATCCTCCTGATTAGTTGGGATTATAGGCATGAGCCACAGTACTGTTACCTATTTGTAAATGCATAAAACACAATTAATACATGAGCTTCATTTGTTGAAAAGACTATATGAATTTAATTTTATATAAAACGGCTATACTTTTCTGTTCAAATTTCCTTCAATTCCACTTATGCATAAGGCAGTTTAGCATAAGGCAGTTGTTCTTTAAGAGAAAGAGAGGGAAAAAGGAAATAAGAATATGATAGAATCTCTTTTCTGAATTGTGAAATTATGGAACAGGACAGACTAATGATTCTAACAAGAGAATATGACCTTCCATATGACCTTCCATTAAGCTGAGGACCAACTCCCCACCACACACACACCCCTCCTGCCATTAAAGACACAACTCCCCACCACACGCACACACACACACACACACCCCTCCTGCCATTAAAGACACAACTCCCCAACACACACACACACACACACACACACACACACACACACACACACACCTCCTACCATTAAAGACACTGCCTGACACTTGCAGACAGGTTCCCCTCCTGTAATAAACCAGTACAGATCTCAACAGTCATCTAAACTGATCCCAAAGGGTGAGCAAATCAACTAAGCAATTCTCATCTCCCTAGTCTGTTGCTTAACAAACACTGCCTCTTAACTCCTGTCCAAGTAAATTCCACCATTTCTGCAAAGAGCTCTAGTTTGGAAGGCAGAGAAACTCCATGAAACCTCAAAATAAATAAATAAAGATAGCTAATGCTTTACACCAGACTTTCTGTCATGTAAGCCTCATTGGCAATGAATGTCATGCGTATCTGATGGCCAAGACGGCCAACAAACCTACCTAACCAGCAATGGCAGACAGGATTTGGAACTAAATCTGTCCTTAAAGTCCATGCTCTAACCACATTGTGCCATTAGCTTGCTCCTAGTCTATTGTGTGTGTGTGTGTATGTGTGTGTATGTGTGAGTCACGGGGTTTGAACTCAGGGTCTGGTCACTGTCTCTGAACTTCTGTGCTCAAAGCTGGCGCTCAACCACTTGAACCATAGCTTGCAGCTCTTTTCTTGGTAATTTATTTGTGTTTAAGAGTCTCGTGGACTTTCCTGTCCAGGCTATCTTTGAATTGTCATCCTCAGATCTCAGCCACCTGAGTTGCTAATTACAGGCATGAACCACCAGTGCCTGGCTGTTTCGAAAAGAAGTGAAGCACTGATTTCTAGGTAAGTTTTAAATTGCAAGCAGCAACTCACTGTCCATTTAATGGACTGTAATCAACATTTCTTTTTAATGAACCTAGAACGGTATGGACAGACTCCTCCTATCTGCCCATTTCATTTTGCACAATTTCACTTACCCACAGACAACCCAACTCAGAAAAGACTAAATGGGAAAATCTCAGAAATAAACCATTCCTAGCCAGGGCCGGTGGCTCACTCCTGTAATCCTAGCTACTCAGGAGGCTGAGATCTGAGGATCTTGGTTCAAAGCCAGCCCGGGCAGGAAAGTCCGGGAAACTCTTCTCTCCAATAAACAACCAGAAAACCGGAAGTGGTGCTGTAGCTCAAGTGGTAGAGCACTAGCCTAGAGCAGGAGAGCTGAGGGACAGTGCTCAGGCCCAGAGTTCAAGCCCCACAACCGACAAAAAAAGAAAGAAAGAAAGAAAGAAACCATTCCTTTCCCTTCTGTCTAGAATCAAAATCTTTCCTTGGCCCAGCAATATCCAAACACCACACATCCTTCCCAAACCATCTGCCACTTAGAAGACACTTCAGTTACTGCAGATCCTGTCATGGGACCCCAGTACTTCTGTTCAATAAATCTTTATTTTACTTAACAACAACCCTAGAGCACAAGAGTATGAGGCTAGAAATGTGGAAATGCCAAAGAGAAGCCTACTGTCATTAAGTATGTATATGGTGCGGGCGAGTATAGCTAGGTGTGGTGGTGTTTAATCCCAACTGTGGGAGGCTGAAGCAGAAGGATCATGAATTTGAGGCCAGCCTCCTGTGTTACACAGTTGAGTTCTAAGCAACTCTGGGCTACATAGTGAGACTCGATCTCAAGAAGTAAAATAAAACAGCAACAACAAATAAAGGAATGACTTGAGTACTATGAAGACACAGTTTAAAGCATCACTGGGGTCTTGGAATATTCACAGTAATTATATACTAGCACTGCTGGCTGGTCATGAAATTTGGCTTCAATTGGACATTTCTTTGTACACATATAAACAGATTGTGGGATAAGTAGCCCCATCTTTTTTAAAACAACCGCACTGTGGAGTTGAACTAAAATTATGTCTCTGGTCTTTTTCTGCAGAATATTCTGTATCATTAATATGAAAAGAAAAAACTAGACACAATCTCCACCAAAATACTACAAGAAAGAAAAAGAAAGGAAGAAAAAAAAGAAAGAAAGAGAGAGAGACAGAGAGAGAGAGGGAGGGAGGGAGGGAGGGAGGAAGGAAGGAAGGAAGGAAGGAAGGAAGGAAGAAGAGAGAGGAGGGAAATAAGGGAGGGAGAGAGACAAAGGAAGGAAGGAAGAGAGGAAGAGGAGGGAGGAAATGAGGGATGGAAAGAGGAAAGAAGGAAGGAGGGAGAAAGGGAAGAAGGGAGGAAGGGAGGAAGAAAGGAAGAAAGGGAGGGAGAAAAGGAGGGAGAGAAGGGGGAGAAAGAAAGGGAGGAAGGGAAGAGAAGGGAAGGGAAGGGAAGGGAAGGGAGGAAGGAAGGAAGGAAGGAAGGAAGGAAGGAAGGAAGGCAGGCAGGCAGGCAGGCAGGCAGACCTTATTTGCTCAAGCTTTCCAGATACAATATGAGAAAGGAACAAATACAAATAAAGACTAAAATGAAAACCCCATACCTTTTACAAACAAGGACAGAAAAACCAGCAAAGAAAAAAAAATATTATGTTAGAAAATGCTTTGTTTTGCAATCCACAGGATTCTGAAGCATAAGCAGCCAGAAATGTTTTAACAAGAACAAGAACAGGAAGAGAACAGACACCTAAAGAGACCTCCACAAGACCATCTCAGGTCAGTCAGCAAGTGCTTCCAATGCAGTATCTCAAAGAACCACACTCCCAGCTAGTTCTAGAGTCCTAGCAACAGTGAAAATAGAGCTCCATCACCTGGTACAAAACAGATCTCAAGTTCACCTAAAAATACTAAGCGCCAAGTCCCAAAACTTCATTAAGCCAAGATGTATAGTGTTCCTTCCCCATTGCCTTTCTATACACTTGGACTCCCTCCCTTCAAGACTGTCCCCTGGGGTAGACAATATTACAGATCTAAAAGTTGGGGGATAAAAGTTCCAAAAGAAAAAAAAAGTTTACTATGTTTACTATGTTGTGTAAGAATATATAAGGTTATAAAGGTATAGAGAGAGTCAAAGTGTATGCCGTATCTTAAATTCGGACATAGCTACCACTTGGTACAATGGTTGACAGGTAAGAATGCTCGCAAGGTTCTATTTTCTAACCTGGATGGAGTTTACATAGATGTTCACTGCACAATCCATTAATATTCTTGTTTATTAAGTAATGTTCTGATATTTTAATCATGTCTTTTAACTATTTGGGACCATCAAACCCATGCCTACCCCCCTGTTTCCCTAATAAACCTCCAGATGAACAAGGACAAAACACAAAAGGCAAAATGATGTCTCAAAGAAAGGGCAAGCTAAAATAAAGCCTAGTAACTTGTACTTCAAAAACAAGGATTGTCTGTAATTCTAGCACTTCGAAGGAAAATTCTAGCATTGAAGCAGGAATATCTCAAATATGAGGCTAGCCTGGGGCTACACTTTAGGGAAACCCTGTCTCAAAATAAGAAGAACTGAGGATTTAGCTCAGTGGTAAAGAACTTGCCTAGCGTTTGCAAGGCCCTGGCCTTAGATTTATTGAGATATTTTTAAAATATGCTGTACCTCTATGAGTCATCTTCAACAGTGAATAAAAAAAAAAAAGATGAGGACTCAGGTAAAAAAAAAATGTGTGTGTGGGTGTGTGGGTGTGTTATATGAAAAAATAACAGATTTGTAATAGGAGCTATTTCAGAGTCAAGAATAAAAGACAGCCAGGCACTAGTGGCTTATATCCATAATCCTAGCTACTCAGGGGTTCTAAACCAGCGAGGGTAGGAAAGTCTGTGAGA